AGACCACTGACACCCAAACTATACACATTTCTCTTGCAGAATACAGTGACATCTTTCAAGAGTTACCATTCTTTAAATGCACTCTTTTTCTAAGAACTGTAACTTTATTTTCAGTTAGAATTCCATCTGCTTTTAGGAGTCTAAAGACTCAAACCATGATAACAGTTTAAAAATCTACTGTTATTGTCAACATAACTAAATTCTTATATTTTACAGTCTTATTGGACATCTCAACTGATGTATATTTTAAGTGCTGTTGGTAGAAATTTTTATGCAGTTTAGTAGCATAAATTTTTTTATTTTCTCTTTTAACTTTTCAGATGCTGGTAATCCTTTGTGTTAATTGTTTGCCAGCTATATATATGGCAAGACGCCCAGTATCAGCTGAGCTGTGAAAATGAAAGTATCAAAATATCCCCATGTGTGAACTCTGCAAGAAACAACCATTACCCTCTACTTAAAAAAACCCAAAAACCAAACACAAACCAACAAAACCCAACACCCTTACTGAGGAAAGCTCTGGTCTTCTGAAATGAGTGTAAGGGAAAAATCATCATGAGCAAATTTTACCCTGTCAGAGAATTCTCACCTAATTTATTCTGTTTACAGATTTGGTCTAATAATGATTATTTCTCACACCTCTTCGTAAAATATTCTGAGATTTACTGATGAAAACTGCTAAGGAATAAAATAATATTCACCCATTGTACAATTAAGGTGTCATAATTTTTATAGTTTGTATAGTTTTCTGTGATAATAATTTATTAATGTTTTTGCTTACAATTACAACTGAGACTGAAAATGATTAAAATGTATCACTTGTTTAACTGCTTGCGCAGATCCTCCCATATCCAGTTAGTCTACCATCACCCCCCATCATGTTTCCCAGAGAGCTTGTAGAACTGTTATGAAAATAATTGTTTTCTGAAAATGTACCGTCAACATAATTTACAAAGATTAATCTGCTAATGTAGATGCTTAACTACCTGTCACTCAGTACAAGATGGTTTGATATAACATGACTTTCCAAATGTACTTCCTGTTTGTCTCTTCTGTTCCCCAATTTCACTCACATAACGTGTTAAGATTCCGGTTCTGTGTAATTTGATGCAGCTTCAGGTCTTCTGGGAATTATCAAATACAAGTTGGGGAATATTTCTTCTATGTCTTACTCTATTACCTCATAGCACAAATCCTGCAACTCCAGTTGCCCACAAAGTAAGGTGCATTTCCCTAGCAAGGCTGGTTAATATATCGTGAGAATGGTGGACGACCTTCACTGGGCTATGGGTCAATAACAATACAGACGGTGAATTCAGATGGTTTTCTTGCAAGGACCAAAGCTCCCCACTGTTACGTCTGGATCCAAATTTAAAAGTTTCCAGAACAGCAGGTATATACACAGAAAGCAACCTTCTTCTGACCTCAGATCTGACTTTGCTATGAGCAGAAGGTTGGACTAGAGACCTCCAGAGGTCCCGTCCAACCTGAATTATCCTACGGTCCTATTACACTATGATCTTGCAGTCCTACTGTATACTAGTCCAACAACAGATGTGACACATCTGCATTCAGACACTGCAGCAATAATCCGACCAGGTGGTGGTTTGACTGGTTAGCGGAGCTGGTAAACAGATCCATGGGACCAATTCTGTTGTCAAGCAACATTAACAAAAACCTGACATGCCCCACACTTTGCAAAACCATCTGTGGTCACAGATAGACGATACAGGCACAAACATACCTGTACCATGCCTACCCTTCAATTTCCAAAGCCAGCCTACCCACACACCCCAGAGTAAGCTGGGCTCCTGCCAAACCACAAGATTATGAAACAAGGAGAGGCACAGGATGAGCAGCAGCAGTTTACACTTGTTCTGTTTTCTCTTTGCTCCTCTGTGTCTACTGGTGCCTCTCTACATTTGGAGTGCAAGTTCTTCAGAAGATAGAACGGGGTTTTCTCTTAATGTCTTATGTAGTGACTAAGGGGGCGAAGAACTCTGTGTTTCTAGGTGTTAGGGTGATTCAAATACTATGCAATGACAAAAACTACACGCTCTGAGAGACTTTCTGAGCAGGGGATTAATTCTATCTGTTCAACTAATGTACTTCTGTGAGAAAAGCATTTATTCTTTAACTGAAGCCCTTAAGAGATACTGGACGTGCCATTTCTCTTGGCAGCATATTCCAAGCATTAATGTCTTCCACTGCTAAAAGATGTGTGTAATTTCTAATTCAAATTTGGTTTATTTCAGTTTGTAGTTATTTTTTATTGTTACGCCTCTCACTGTGCAAGATTAAAGATCACTGTAGCCACCTTCCAGTCTTCTTTTTGATAAGCCAAACAGATTGTCCTCTTTAAGTCTCTCCATGCAAAGAATTTTCTCCAGCCTCAAATAATTTCTCAGCATTCTTTTGACAACAAGGACACCAGAGGTGAGCGCAGTATTACCACAAAAATCTCCCCAATGCCATACATAGAAGGAAAATAACACCTCTTCCTACTTGCCACTTCTCTGGTTATATAGTCAAGGATTCTATTACTTGCTTATACCATAACATTGGACTGGAAATTTTTACTGGCTTGGCCAATGTCAGCTCTTAATTCCTTTTCAGTCACTGCTCTACACAACACAGCCCCTCATCTCTGCGGACATGACCTGCTCACTGTGTTAGTAAGTAATTCTACTTGTGCCTATACTAAAACACTGTATCTGAATGGGATGAATTTACCAAACAATATAGATCTTATGACAACCCCAGCCTTAATTTGATTTCCTATTTAGCCACTCTTTTTATCTTCACAGCACATCAGTTTTGCTTTCTCATGGCTGAAAACACTAAAAAATGTATATGTTTTTCTCAGTATTAGGATCCTTGTGCTCTCCTGCCAGCTTTCCTGAGCAACTTTACCCTTTGTAGCTGTTGTTCGGTGGATCCCACCAACCAGTTTCCTGAATAAACTGGTCTGTTCCCCTAAAGCCAGGCTCTGTAGTCTACTGCTCTCCTTCCTCAGCCCCCACAGGACCATGAACTCCACTACTCAGTCACTACAGCCCAGGCTTTGATAACCAAGCCACGGATTACCATATCCCCCAGCTCTTCCTTGTTACTGAAGAGCAGATCCAGCTGTGAATCACCCCTGGTTGGCCCAGCCAGTATCAAGAAGTTATCCTTGATGCCTTTCAGAAACCTTCCTGACTGCTTGCATTCCAATGCGCGGTGCTTGTAGCATACGTCGAGCAGGCTGAAATTCCCCCCAAACCCAGGGTCTGTGATCAAGATACTGCCTTGTTCCTGGTTAAAGTGCTCCTCAGCAGGTTGGCTGGCCAGTTGGCAAACATGCACTTTTCGCATTTTGTCAGGTGGACCTTGTCTCTCCCCAGTGATCATTTCCAATTCTCTTCCTCGTTTCCTCACATTTTACCTCATTTTAAAGGCTGATGGCATAGAAAGTGTTTCCATATTTCCCCTCATTCTATGTGGCGTGAGTTCAGTTTGTTCCTCAGTTTACATGGCATTGAAAAAAAAAAATCAGTCCCTCTGTATGTTACTAATTCAGCGTCTTCCCAACTGCTCTGCTTAGTCTCCAGCCACGATTAGATTCGTCTCTCAGATGCACCTCTCAGATGCAGGCCAGCATAGCAGTGCCTCCCCCACTCTTTTTCAAATGTGGTCCAATACCCCATGATATCTACATTTTCCCTTGGAACTACAGACAGAAAGAGCACTGCACACCAAGTATATTTTGCTTCCTTTCTCTAATTTATGGGTAGTAAGAAACTTCAAGGCAATCTCTGACTTTCCATTTGAGTGCTTTTAAGACTCCTGCAGTTTCCTATGGCCTGTACGGTTCCACTTGATGCCACATAATTGGTTCCAAACTGAATTATCTTCCAGATAATCTTACAAGCTTCTGCAACAGTGCAACTGCTTTTTGTGTCTTTGCTTTGGGGAAATAGCGTGCTGTCATATTTTCCTTGTGTCATTTTTTGAAGACTTTATCCAGTCTGGATCATACAGGAGTATCTCTTGTAGCATGTCTGAGAAATACTGTAAGGAATCGTATTACAGATGTATCTTGCAGCATTGTGTTTTAGTAGGTGAACTGCTGGATATCTGAAGGCTGGAGACTTCTAGCTGGCCAAATACTGTTCTCGCTTTTTTGCACATAAATGGCCAATCCACTTCTTTTGTTTCTATTCTTTCTTATTCTCCTGATGCTGTCCTCCCCCATGGTTTCTGTGGCAACAGTTGCTGAATGTAGTCATCCAAGAGGCATTCCTTTTCTCAAATACTATACTTTTGAAATGTACACTTCTAGACCACTGATATTATATAAAAGAATTGCTTGAGGATATTTTAGGTTGCAATAGAGTTCAGTTGTAAGGCTTCCTAAAATCATATTCTTCATGTTTCAGCTGAAGAAAACCTTACAATTTCCATTAATTTTGTTGCTGAAGAACATGTACTTCTGAAGATCATAGAAAGTATCTTGATTTAATGTTATAGATATTAAAATATCTCTTTTACAGTGAAAGGATGCATTTATGGTCTAGGACTTATATGCACAGACATTATTCTTAATAACAATGCATCTTGATCTGCTAGATATTTCCCACATATGAAAAAAAGACAGGCCAGGACATTCCACGTCAAGCACTGGCACAGGCTGCCCAGGGAAGTGGTTGAGTCCCCATCCCTGGAGGTATTTAAAGCCGTGTAGGCAAGGTGCTTAGGGACACGGTTTAGTGGTGGACTTGGCAGTGTTAGATTAATGGTTGGGGACTCAGTGCTCTTAAAGGTCTTTTCCAACCTGAATTGTTCTATATCTTAGCTAGCTTTATGCTTCTTTAATGCTGACATCAACATCTTGAACGAGTCATCCAGATTTCCGTTATAGGCTGCAGGCAAACAGGCACATCTATATGATTCATCTCATTCCCAAGCAGACACCTCAAGTAGTTGATATAAATGACTGCTCTACAGACCAGCTTTACTTTCCAAGATGTCTAAGGCTGGGGCGTGCAAATCCCAGACTCGCACAAACCGAAGAGCTGGTAATCTAGAAACGCAAGCAAAAAAGGGAAAGATGAGAGGAATTCCTAGGTGCGTGCCTCTCCACGTCCCCCTCTTCCTGGGGGAGACCCTGGAGGAACGGCTTTGACAAGACAACTGCTGTTCAGATGTCAAGTCACTGTGAAGTTGCTTTGGCCATCAAGTTGACGGGAGGCACAAGTTTTCTTAGCTCTATTTTTTAATTTGCTTTTCTGGTTTGGCAGTGCGTTACGCCGGTTCACTCTCCTCACCTCTCCAGGCCGCCCGGGAACTCTCCCTGGAAGCGGCCCAGCACGTGCATCACGGCAACACCCACTAACCCCCC